GCAGGATGTGAATCAGGTCATACATCTGCATATTTAGACTTAGTTCCCAACTCCCACTTTCTCCTGCAAAAGCTGCAATTGGTAACACTGCTGAGAGGATCAGAGGAAATGTATGCATTTGTATGCATAGAAAACACTATTCAAAACACTATCCTGTGGAGCTTCAAATGGCTTTAAAACTTTCTTTTCTATTGATGTTCAAGAACAAAATGATCGTTCTTAATTGCTATTATCTACAGCATTTGAAGCTCAGGTGCAGAGGTGGAGTATGTCGGTGTGACCCTTCGCACACCCCCAAATGATTGGCTGGAGGGAAAGTTGTAATGCTCAGCCACAAACTTGGAAATAACCAGAACCCCGGGGCATAGCTCTATGCAAGTCAACCATTCCAGAAACACAGTTATTACCTGTGATCATCAATCAGTACAAAACTGCACTAAGTCCTGAAAAAAAAGCTGAAAATGTTCCATGCTGGAAAATCAGATTATAGGGTTTGGTTGGTTGGTTGGTTTGGGTTCTTGTTGGGTTTTTTTGTGTTTGTTTTTGTTTGGTTTTTTTTTTGAGAGAGATGGATAAAATATGGTGGACATCTTAGACAGACAGCTTTCAAAGTCCAGTGTTTAGGAGATATTTGTATCTGATGGACACTTAATTTCAAAAGTAGTAGTGGTATTAGGAATTTCTAAACTGACATTATTGTGCTACCTTTACCATTTAAAGTTTCCTCTTAATCAAATGAATGTATGCAGAGTAGCAAACATGGGAATTTGTAGCTGATTTGTTATTTCAGAAAGCATTAAAAGCAAGTAAAGCATTTAAGCTTAAAACAAGGAATGTAAAGTTCACCAAACTACTCCCCACGGTCATGGAAAAAAGGACAGATTGTGCTACAGGACATTTCAGTCAAGATACCTTGCCTACCAATGGTAAGCCAGTATATTGCCTACAGAAGACACAACACAACTTGAAGCAAACTACGCGAGAATTTCTGTGCTCTTTGGGAGGCAGCCAAACAGAAATTTGTGTCATAAGTTTATTGCACCATAATGGAAAACTGACAATAGAGTGAGTTAGATCTGAACTCAGAGTTTCAGTGCTTCTAATCCCCACAAGGCAAAAACTCATTTCATATGACTTATGTGCAAGGGTTAAAGAAACAGCACAAGCTTCTGATACTATGCCTTCAAGCAGAAGGGAATGACCACAGAATCCCAAAGCACTCTTTTGTTTCCACTGAAAAGGAAGTAATCAAAATCACTGTCACTTACTCTCTGTTGGCAGCACAGGGGGAAGTGTGGTCTTAGGCTTCTTGGTCTTCTTCTCAGTAGGCTTTGAGGTCTTTGTGGATGAGGCATCTGCAACCAAAACAAATAATAAAATACAAATCCTATTTAAAAATCAATAACGAAAAAGCTGCCTATTAACATTAGTTTGTTTTGGCTCTTTCTGCAAAGAGGAAATTACTGTCCTTTTGGGTTTTAAGAAAGATTTTCTGCACAGACTTGCTGGAGAATATAACATTGTAAAAGGAAGAGGGAGCAGCAGCTGCACTGAGAACCAGAGAAACCAACTAGACAAGAGGCACCATCTAAGCTGATAGGTTTTAATTTCACTGATAGGTTCTATTTTAACTGAATAGTACCAAGTACAGTGTGCACAAAGCTGCTTTAGGCAGTGCATGGAAGATGGAAACAAAGGAGTATTTGAAGTATCATTTCATGCAAAAGAATCTCTTGACATGTCATTCTTCTATTCCATTGCCTATGTGATCTATACAGATTAACACATTTTGAAAAGCAGCATTTTGCCTGTGTGTTTAAAACTTTCCAAGAAGATATTATTACACATTGGATCATTGCTAAATAAAAACAGCAAAAGGAACACCACAGGACTCAAGTTTGATGGATTTCATTATTCTCAAGATTGCATAGCTCATATCCAGCCTCTGCTCAGCACTGCTGGCTCCACTGACAGCTGAGAGTCAATACAAGCTCTCTTCCATGTGTATCCCATATGACACAGAAACATACAACTAGCAGGTGTAACCTTTTATCAGCATGGTTATCGCAGGTGAGCATGTCTTATAAAGCAAATCCTAATGAGCTCCACTTGTTAGATTGTTTGATCCTGACATTTATCTTTGGAAGAAAGATCCCAAATCTGGATTATGATCTCAGCAATAGCTGTATCAATTTATAGCTTTCAAATATTCAGCTTTCAGAGGATTTGTGCATGAGAAGGCTATTTGAAATTTAATTACCAGAGAAAAGATAACATAAATGTCATGGAACCACCTATTTCAGTCACCTGCTTCTAGGTGCCAGAACGTGAAAGTTCATCTAAGTTTCCTAAAAACTTAACAGGGCAAAACGGAATCTCCTAGCAAACAATTCAGAGCAGAAGGCTGTGCTAGATCTGAGTTCAGACACCCAGATTGTACAGATTTGTCCTTGAGCTAATTTGACAACTGACGTCAAACATTCCTCCAATCTCACTGGAGTCCATAGGGCCAGAAGGAATACAATGGTATTTATGGTTACTTGTTGAGTCTGAAAATCAGCGTCTTGGCTGCTGACAGCAGACTAAGTAGAAGGGAGGAATATTAATTTTTGGTTTAGATCACAATTCTAATTTAAAAATAACTGTCATCCCTCTGCCAGTCACAGACATGGACTATTAAACGGCGTCTCTTCTAAATAGCTGGAGTTTTCTGTGGCACCATTCCTCAGAAACCTCTTCGCTGCCGTACAAAGCAGTGTGCCAGTAGGGAATGGAAAGACAGATGAAGCAGCCAGTATCAAGGTAAGGAATGTAGTCATTCTTGTGTCCAACATTATTTGCGCAGTGAGCTCCTAACACCATGGGTGCCAAAGTCAAAGGTAAAAACACATGAGACATTTAAAAGATGGTAGGGCAGCTCTGAAGAACCACTGCAGGCTAAGCACTTGATGATCTGTTCCTTTAACAGCCTGCATCTGTGGTAGTTAAGGTGTTACAGGGTACTAGATTTTGCTTAAAGCCTCTTCTTGATAGTCTTCTTTGAACTTCAGTGCTGGTAGAATTTATTACTTTAAATTACAGAAATATAAACAATAGCTTATCCAATATCTAAGCCAGACTACATTGTGACCATAGTATCACAGAAGGTGCCATTACAGGAACCAATATAATTAATTGTAATTATATGTATAATTAATTCCTTTTCCAACTACATGAAGACTGACACTTACTGATGGAGTTACAGGATCACATTCTTACCTTGTGTTATGCTACATTAGGAAAACAAATAATAGTTTACTTTTCTTGACCTCCTGCTCAAATACCACATCGGTAACATCGTTGTGAAGACTTAGTACCCACTATCTGTTATTGGGCTCATTGTTTAGTTTTGTGTTCTTTTTAGTCACAATGGAAAGTATCAGAGTATTCAAGGATGAGCTCAACAGAAGGCAAGCTGATAAGAAGCTCATTTGGTTACTTAAAGTCCCTTAAGCATCTTAAAGTCCATGCCAGTTTTAAAAGTCTGTGCTCTCAACCTCATGACAAAATATTTGCCCAAGGCCAAGACTACTTGGCAAGAGTACAGTGTCATCGGCATGACTAAGGCTGAAAACAGGTACCTCAGCAAATTATCCACGTTTTAAGACTATGGCATACAAGGGTGGATGAGCTGCTAATTTGTTAATTTTTGCTCATATCCACTAGAAACACCAAATGACCAAACGTCAGTGAATGCAAAGAATTGAAAAGTTCTAGACTGAGAAATGTGCCATACATAGCCCCGAGGCTGACTGGTACCCAAGCTCACACATCAATTTCTTACATGCTCTTAAAGAATGCATACAGGTCAGAAGCAAATCTTCATGGGTTCAGCTTACTGCTCTAAAAACCTTATACAAATACAGCAGGCAGCAAGAGGACATAGATTATTCCACAAAGCAGCCAGAGCCCTTGGCTTTGTACGGTCTCTCTGCTCATGCTCCTTTATGGTAGACATGGAATTACATACTGACCAAAAAGTGGTAAAGGGGAGGGGGCAGAATTCTTTTCTGTACATGTGGTTCATAAAGGCTGGTATTGGGAAATAAAGGGGGCAAGGAGAAAGTTCTAAGGAAGGGTTTTCCCATATCCAGCAAAGTACTTACCTTCTACGAGCACTTTACAAGCACATTCAGCTTTTCCAGCTGCATTCTCAGCTATGCATTTGTATTCGCCACCATCTTCAGGCATGGCCTTCTCAATGGTAAGTGAACATAGTGTCCCTAATACAAAGGAAGGAGAGATCAAACGGATGTTATGTTGCAGTTTACAAAAACCTTAGTGCTATTAAGGCACAGAATGCATCAAATGATCTAATCCTTTACTACAGGTGATCTCCACTGCTAGAAAAAGGTGTTTTGTCCTTAAAAATTCAACATCAGATTTGGAACCTTATTAAAGCTAAATAAAACAAAAAACACATCAATAGATAAATTGAATCGTATTGCTGTTGCCTAGGATGCTCAAAGCTGTTCCTGCAGCCCTTAAGTAGTTAATGGATGAGGGTAGAGAAAACCCAGAGCAGAATCTCTGTTGCTGTTCTTTGTCTTATAGCAGGGATTAGAGGTCCTCACTCAAACGATCTTTTTCCAAAAGTGCTGGTGGTGTAGGACTGTAAATAAGAGGGCTTCTGTCAAGTGGCCATCTGCAATATTTTGATTCAGCCTTATCTCTAGCACTCCCATGAGCATTCACGTGTGAAAGTAGAACTTCAGCTTAGTGCCCAAGTTTAAAAATGGCACTGAGAGACTTTTTCTTTTTACTTGAATTACTTAAAGAACAAGTGTCCGGTATTGTAAAACATCTGTTAGAAAGTCCAATATATCAGTGTCAATCAAATTTGCCACTACAACAAATCCATTTCTTTTCAAACAAAAAAAGCAAAATTTGACTTCACTGGGTTTGCAGAAACAGGATGCAACATAAGCTCTGTAGTTACCAAGGGAAGCTTGGTATGACCCAAGGGAAATACATTTCCTCTTAAAAAATAAAACTCTGTGAACCAAAACAGAAGCTGTTCCCAGTAGTTGGGGGATGAGGAAGGAGAACTGTGGTTTACCTAATCCCTTACATTCACTTGCTTTGCTTGGAACAACGAAGTACTTTGTTCCCCTGGGAGAACCCCAATTAAAAGACTCCAGACTTTCCTCTTCCAAATATCTCTCATTAAGTGAGGGTGAAGTGTAGGCTTGCTTTCTCCTTCCTCACTGGAAAGCCTGCCCTGCCCCTAAACACAGCCTGAGACATTGTGCACTTCCATCCATTGCTGCTAGCTTGTCCAGAACGCCTCCACCCTCCATTCACTTCAGCTGCAGTAATACCTTCCCCGCTTCCTCCATTTACCTTTCTCACAGTCTCTCCTGACTAATGGCAAGACTGGATAGATGATCTTTTTTAGACATTTTCCCTGTGTCCTGAGATGTAAGGAAATTTCCCAGCTTCTCTTGCTATTTGCCACCTTTCTCTCTGTGTTAACTGGAGGCTGCCTTCTGGCTTCCAGGGTGCCTGATCCCAGGCTCCCCATCAAATATATCCCTTCTGATTTGGGAGATGGCACAGGCAGAGGTGACACTGGTCCTTGAAAAGGACCTCAAAAGGTCCTTGAAAAGAACACCTCATCTTTCAGAAGAACTTTGGGAGCTTACTGGCTCCCCTTGGAGACTAGACCTCAGTTCTGACATGGCAATTATGCTTTTGGCATTCAGATTTTCCCTCGTTGTAAAACTGGATGTTATTATTCAAGATAAATCTTATAAAAAAACATTCAAATCATTCCTAACAAATTTGGTTTGCCAGATACACACAAGAGTTAGACGAAAATGAATTTTTCCCTCTTCCTCATCCTCCACAAAATCAAGAAGCTCTATATAATGACTATTTTCCCCATGAGAAATGATGTGAAAACTATCTCAGAAGAGGAGCACTGACCTCTCACTCACATGTGCTGTGCTCAGCCAACCACAGGGTGAAAAGAAAAGCCATGTGCCTTCCCTGAGGCAACTCTTCTCCATGAGTCAGGCTGAGCCAAAAATGTCACGAGCTGCAGTTCCATTCCAAATGAAGGAGGGACACTAGAAAAGTATTCTTGCAGGCATCTAGCAAATATAAATTCACATGTCTCTGCTGTTTATAGAGACAATTGGAGAGCAAGCCAAAGATAACTTCCAGTCTAAGAATTTGTATAAATCTGGATAACACGATCAGAAAAGGTCAGACATTAGAACCTAAAAATGCTATTGCAAAAGAACACAAAGTGTAGAACAAAGAGACATACATATGAAGGAGATCTCTGGCCACCTTACTGCAGGGAAAGAATCTGGCTTGTAAGGATAACTGGATCTTTAAGGGTCTGGAACAAAGCAGCACGTACTTTAGTTTCTGCTGGAGTTTTCTACCTGCTCAAAAGCCTTTCCCCAGCTCATTGAAGACTAATTTGATATAAGGTCACTCCTCACCACTCATACTGTTGCAGCGTTGTCCATACAACATACTGCAGCAATATAAGTTAACACCTTATGCGAAACACTTCCTTATGCAGCATGTACAAACAGAAACATCCCACCCTAACAATAAGTCATTCCCCACAGTTATGCTAAAATCTAGGAGGAAATCCTAGCGTTTTCTTACAATGATCCTCGACTTGCCATATGCATTCTGTTGGTTTTGCTTTTAGAACCTTGCCCTGGCCAGGCTGCATGGCAGAGGTCTGACTGAAGCTGCGTTTGGCTTATTCCACTGGAAGAAGAGTCCTCATAAAATAATGTCAGTCTTACTCCTTCCAAAAGAGTATTTATACATGTTGAATTTTAATGAAGTTATTTTGTGAGAAGGTGGATGAAGGAAATCTGTGTTTTCAAGGGCTGCATCCTTTTTCTCCTGACTTCCACCCCACTGCAGCAATAACCTGTATCCTGTTTCCCTCCACTTCTTCATACTCCCCAACAACTACAATGGAACAGCATATACAAAGTACACAGGGATTGCTGGGCTTGTTGCTACCACCAGATGCAATGGTGGTATTCTGTCCACAGTGGAGGAGTGAAGGGGAAATGAGGTAATTTGGGTCATTCTCCTTTATTTAGCCACTGATTTTCATGAAGCTGTGGACTACTAAGACTTAGTGTGAAATTGGCCCATGGTTCAAAAAGGTATTAGCCAGGCTGGAACAGGAGTATAAGGGGAGGCTGAGAGAGCACATGGCTGTAGAAATCTCATTTTCTTAGAAAACCAGAAACAAACAAACATCAAACAAACAAACAGGCAAAACTCGATGAGATTTCGTAAGGACAGGAAACTCCCCAATAGGCCTGTGTTCTGTGATGTAGAGCGACAGTCTGGGGCTAGAAGGCCACATGTCTTTCAACAAAGTATCTGGTATTTCCTCTGCAAAAAACCTTCATGACCTGAAACAAGCTTATTTTCTCGTAACTGCAGGAAAGCCCGGGCTGGTTACTCCAGTTGGGTATTCTGAATCCTGGCACTTCACAGATCCCAGTCAACTAAAAGAATTTGCTATCCATTTTGTCTCCTCATCTTTCTACTTTTTTTTTAGGAACCAGGCCACGAACAGGTTTTAAACCACTGTCACAAAGTGCAGGATTGGAGTAAACATGGGTACTAGGATTGTCCATTTAGGCATGGGAACTGGTGCAGCTCTGGAAAAGACCTTAACAGCCGCAGAAGCTGACGGTTTACTGGAGGCTCTGGTTTAGATACACAAAGCCTTTCCCTTGCATTTTAAGCTATTAAAGGATTTTCTGACTTACTCAAAAATAGTGCAAGCCAGTTTAAAATATCTCTAGGCTTCTGCATTCTTTCCATGAAACTCCACAGAAAGTTAACTTCAGATATAAAACAAATACACAAACCAACAAGAAACAGCTTCTGAGTCTAATTCCCCGCACTGGCATCTAGCTGGCCAACCTTCTGACTCCTACCCGTGATGCAGACTGAAGTTTATGTCTTTCTCATTTGTATCCCATGGGATAAAGAAGTACTATGGAGTATTTAGGCAATATTAATAAATACTAGGCCATGAGAAATTGTGCCTAGGAGCCATAACAAATTTGTTAAGGCATTTGTTGGCCCACGGTGTTAATTTTCTAATAAATCACAAATTGTCTGGGAAAGTGCAAATATTGGCTAGTGTCACAGTCATGTTTAAAAATGGCAACTGGGTTGACCTGGAAAATATTGACTACAGTTACAATGACAACAGGCAAAGTAGTGAAAAAATTCACATGAGTTTCAGAGAGGAAAAAATGTCAAATTTTATTATTGCTAATTGATGGAGTTCTGATTCCTATTCACTCAAAGAAAATGGGGCTTAGGATGGTGAAATGACTAGCATCCATGGACAGCAAGGGATGCTCTATTTTCAGAAGGTTTAAAGGTTTAATACAGAAGTAACAAATATGAGCTCTGCTATTGTGGGGTGGAAAGACGACCAATGACCTCCAGTAAGCACAGCAATACAAAGGTGACCTCCATCTCACCAATGCTGATACTGTCATACGGTTCTGCTGCTTACTTTCTAAATAGGATAATAAACCGACAAAGAGCAACTGAAGAGGAGATATTAAAAAGAAAAACAAAAACCGAAACAACCCCAGGCCTCCAAGGGCTGGATAAAGTGCCTTTTAGAGAGGAAGAAGAAACCAGATACATTCAAATTAGAAATAAGACATTGCTTTGTTTCTTGATTTAAAAACAAAACGCAAGAATAATTAGATATTGCAATAAATTACCAATTATTATAGCAAATGTCTCTCTTTTGCTATTTTTAAACCTACATTACGTGCATTTCTGGAAGAAGAAAGATTCAGACAAAAATGGCAGTACAGAGGGAAATTTTGTGGCATGTGACAAACATGGAGTTGTGTCAGAACTGATGCTCAGACGACCTCCCTAGCCTTAAACTTTCCGAAGAAGCTTTTTTTAAGCTGCAGAATCCATTTACTTTCAGCAGTACATAGAGTTGTGTTAATTACACACCGAGCTCTTGCTCAAAGTTAATTAAAAAGGAATCAAAAAAGTCATGGCAAATCCTAGTTAGACTGACAGACACAGACTTGCACAACTGACAGGAAGATTTAGGTGTTATGTTAAGTCACAAGAAAGTTGTTAAGGCATTATTGCTAACAAGATTACCAACTCTTTAATGCTGCCAAGACACTTAAGAAGGAAAAAATGCTGTCTTAACACAGAGCAATACAAACACAGGCATTTTCTAAGCTACATGATCACTGCTACCTGAGCCTATATTAAGTAGTTCCTCTTCAATCTATATAGTCATATGATACTAAATCTAGCCAAAAATAGCAGAGCAAGCCGATTTAAAAAATGGCAAGTTTGCCAGCTTTGACTTATATTCACTGTGCATCTCAATTCCCCAGTCTAGCAAGGATGCCGGCTTCAAAATCCCTTTCACTGTCGTCTTCTAGAACAACTTTTGTAACCATGCAAAAATTTTCTATCTGGATTTTCTATCCAAGAGTGAGTTACGTAGTGGGACACCAGCACAGGGCACTGCTGTGCCAAGTACTATACAAATGTAAAACAAAATGGTTCCTGCCTTAAAAAGTTCACCGTGTGAGGAAGCCTGTTCTACTCAGTCCTTATATGTCTAACTCCACTGTAATGTCTGCTACAGCCTTCATTTAAAACTTTTTTCCAAACAAAAAGCCCCCCATAACTTCAAACAATGAACTCTCTCATATTAAAATCAACTGCCTCTTAACCATACACCATCTAGCCTGCCTGTATAAATGCATAATGCTCTAATTTATGAGTACCCTCTTTCGTTTGTTTGTTACAGTTACCATTTATTTTGAGATTTCACAGGCAAAAATGACATTAATATCTATCTCAGGAATGCAGATAACTGCACTCTGACAAGTGTTTAAAAGAAGAAAAATATAAAATCAAACCATTAATATACTCCTACCAGGTCAGACGTGTTCATAAAAGAAAAATTGTGTAAGAGCACACTTTGTCAGAAAAATGATACTTTAAGCAACAAATCACTTGTGCCAATCAACTGACAGAATGCTATTGGGGAATTATTAAAAGAAATGGAGAAACAAGTACTGATGTTCATGATTTCAAAGGGAAACAAACAATATTAATAGTTGAAATGTAAAATGGAAGGAATGAGATTGATCTTAGATATGTTGTGATTGTGACATTCATTATAACGCTGCCCAGATTCTGACTTCTAATTGCTAATGTAAACTTAACCCTGGAATACATTGCAAGTCCTAGATTAAGTACTAGAATACAGCACAAATACTGCATAAATATGCCTGAAGATAAATGTCTTTTTTGGAGCAGGATTTAATTTTTCCTTTGCCGAAGACCTTACCAATCATTGATTATTCTGATCCTGGTGTTTGAATTTGGGCTTCTCTGATGGTACATAACTGGAGCTAACATCCTCCCTTCTCTTGCATGCTAATGACTAAACTGCCTTGGATGGGCAATGTAGAGTTAGCCTCTTCAAACGCAGAGGAATAGAGTTGTTTCTAACAGGTAAAGGGCCTTACTATGAGCTAGGACAAATATGCCAAGGAAAGTTACTTTCAGTGAGTGACTACATAAAGGGACCAGTTAGTTTGCTTATCCTGTGAACTTGTTCCACACAAGTATACTTTTAATTCTACCCTTCCTGGCCAAATATGCCACTTGTTTTATCAGGTGGGCATATTCCTGAAACCAAATTCTATGTATTTATCTTCACAATATATTTGGCACCAGGAGATCAGCAAACTGCTATCCCTTTTTGCTTTCTGGCAATGACAGAGGGTTAATTTTAATTTCCAAAAGACAAATACATGGTATTCTGCAGGTTCACATGTTACTTACATTGAACAGTTTGTGGGCCACTGGCCCATACTGGGATGGGCTTGTAGTGTGATAAGAAGCAGATAGACATGTGACACTCTAGATAGAGGATTTTCCAGTATCCAACTCACTAAGAACAAGTAAGTTATTCTTCTGTGAAATACCTCTGGAAAATTTTCCATACGTGAGAACCTGTGGTCACCACCAAACATCATGGCAGCACAAAATCAGTTAGTGAAATGGCTAAGAACAGACCCAGTCTATCCACTTCCATAGTGGATTTTGTTGCTGAACACAAGAGCAGCAAGGTCATACTGAAGAAATAAAAAATGTCTTTGCAAGATCTAAGCCCATTACTATGAGCTCGGTCCATTTACTCTGAATTCCTTTCCTTCCCCACAGACTCAACCTCAGCCTTCCTTCAGCTGAGGATGACTCTAGGGGATTATCTCCAGAGCCCATTAAATGCTGCTCCCTTGGTTCCTTCAACTATTAATGTGTTCCTAATTTAAGGGAAAAGAGAAAAATCAATCTCTAAGAAAACTGGAACTTACTTAAAGTAAGTATCATGCATACCTAGCTAATTACTTAACGGTTGGCATGAAAGCATCTCACAGTGGGAGAGCAGCAACAGATCGTTCTCCAAGTGCCAAAGCTAGCAGGTACTATCAGGAAAAAAACTAAATTGAGCATCATGCAATGTATCCACTCAGTGTACCAGAGGGTATGCAATAAGGTTTAAAAAACCTGATAGCTCTAATCCTCATTCCATTTCTTCCCATTAAAGGAGAAAACTGCAGCATTTACTTCTCTGTGTAATATTTCTTTCTAAGATCCTCTGCAAACACGTGCAAAAGAAAGCATAACTGAAGTACCGATAATACTACCTAAGCATGATATTAGTGTAATAATGCAGGTACAACTCAAACATAAGGACAGTTTCTTCACTTCCTGCAAGAAGCTGTCCTGAAACAGTGGATTCCTTACACAGTGGTGACCTTCGTTCCTTACCTCAATGGAAAGCACTGCTGAAGTGTGACATCCTGACAAAATGCCAGCTCTGAGGTGTTATGACCAAGAGTGTCACCCAGCCCAGACAAGCTGGATGGGATAAGCCGCATGTCCTGCTCAGGCAGGTGGCAGAGCATTTCTGTACATGAAGATCACTTCACTGTAAACACAACTACACTGGATTTTTGGGTCCACAGTACCGTTTTATAAAGTGAATATGGATTGGGGGATTGTAACAGTCAATTACTCAGATTATTTCAGTCGAGAAAACAGCTTTCTGCAGCACCACAACACTAAAGCTTTGGGACTTTAGGAGGCTCTACCATAGCTCGGAAGCTTTGATACAGAGATGCTGTCTATCTGATGTACTTTGATAGGAGACATGAAACTCTGAGATGCATGATTTCTTTTCACTCTGAGCAACTCCAAGAAAACCCTTGAAATCTTGGTTCCAGTGTAAGGCTGATTAAATTGCAGTCTCCCAGCTTCCTGATCCCATCAGTCTTTTTTACAAGGATGGCATTTCCACCAGTCAACTCTTTCTCATGTACATGACAGTTACCCCTATTCTATACAGTCCCCTCTGGTGAAAATCATCATGTACTCATAAATAAAATTTTTGTGCTACTTCAGACACATGCCAGACACAACACACCTGCTACCATTTCCCTTTCTCCATCTACTTACCTTGTTATCCCCTTAAAGTACCTTTTTTCCCCCACTCTATCTGAAGGCAATGTTTCTGACGGCATTCACTTTAAAAGAATCCTCATGTTTCAGTGCTTGGAGCACTGCACAAGGATTCACTGGTTGTGGTGAACCACTGTGCATATTCATTTGGTTTTCATTTAATAACACTGAAAATAGTGTGGATTAAATGAAGATTCACAATTAAGAGTGCAGACCCCTGTGTCAAGCTATAATTCTTACTGTGAACATGAACTTTTTTACTACAATGTGCAGGACAGCATCATTCTCCATATAATTTCCTCAATGTTTTATGAAACAAATATGAAGTACAGAAGTTTTTATGTATTATTAGTTATCCTCCCTATTTTTGTCCCAATGAAAATACATTTTTTCTAGATACGATGTTAACTTTCATACAAAACCAGTCTAGTAGGGTTTGATTATCCAAAATGTGGAATATAAGGAAATCACTCAATTTGACAACAGTAAGTATTCTCCCTGAGGACTTTTACCAAACTCTGTACTGTTTTGAAATTAGTTAAGAGTCATCAGGCCAGTGGGGTTCAAATATTTCAGTGTCTTTAAAGGCAACAGAAACATCTGTGGTGGGGCATTAAATACACTGGAAATCAATTCTGAACTCTGATCTTAACTATGTAACTTGAAGTTGTAGTAGTTTCTGTCTATAACACAACCCTCTTTGCTTCTGTGTTTCTTATTGCAATAAAAAGCCTGAAATATTAAACATACGGAAGAATTAAATTAGAATTTGTAAACCAGCAATAATATTATTCTGTTTTCAGTGTTCTAAATCCTTGAAGTTCAGCTTAAATAAACGTCATGTACCAGCTCCTTAAACAGCGTTACAATGTAAACAGCATTTAAAAATGCAAGAAGTTCAACTTTATAAAAATTACATCTGCAGGCTGTTAAAGGAGAATCTGCAAGAAATGTCAAACAATACTGTTCCTTGCGCACTCCACTGGAATAACAAGAAAGTTGCATCTGGAAACAGTTACTGGCACAGGACTTAAATCAAGTATTGCATTACCTTTAATGAACTAAATATTATTAATCAAGAGCCACATATAACAGTGTGCCATCCAGCTGGCTTGTAATTCAATTAATTTACCTTCTTGGGAGATGATAATGGACTTTGATGATTTGAGGGTTTTGCTGTCTACAGTCCAGGTGACAGCTGCAGGGGGATCAGAAGAAATCCGACATTGTAAGACCAATTTTTCACCATCTACTACTTGAGCATCCTGAAGCTTCTCTGTAAAGGAGGGTGCTGTTCCTTTGCTTGCTGGTGGTTTGCTTGCTGTTGCTTTGTTTTCAGCTTTTTTCCCAATTATTCCGCCATCCACTACTGTGCACCCATGTTCGCAGTTTCTGTTGTTCTGCTCTTCTTTTTTCACTGCTGGTTTGGCAACAGGGGCTTGAGATTTGGGGGTCGCATTCTGGGCTTCAGAATTGGTGCGGGCATTTGATGCTGTGGTGGTAGCATTGCCATTCTCTGCAGGTGGCTTTTTCTTTGAGCCCAGCACAGATCTGAAATCTGTAATGGCTGGTTTAGGAGGTGGCACCTTCTCTGGCAATGGGGTTTTTGGGGTGCCTTTCTTAGCCAGCACAGAGCGGAAGTCCACCTGCTGAGGAGCATGAACTTTCCTCTCCTCCTCTGACAAGGTCTTGGGTTTGACCTGCCGCTGCAGGTTTGCTCGGAAGTCCATTTGCTCAGCTGGGATTTCTTTCAGTTCTTCCTCGGAAAAACTTTTGGTGCTGACTTTCTTGCCTAAAATGTCACGGAAATCAAGTTGTTCAGCTTCCTGCTGCCTCAGGCTCTCCTCTGTGTGTTCCCGAGTTTCCACTCGCCTTTTCAGCACGCCTCGGACGTCTTCCTGCTCTTCCTCAACAGCTCTGGTTTCACCACTGTTCTTTTTGAAGCCACTTGTTCTACCAAATGTTAGTTTACCATGATCTCCACCATCTCTTCGCTCTCCAGAGCTGGCTGATTCCCTCCCACTATGATCCGAAAAAGAAAAGAAAGAGAGAGCCAGGAAAGGGGCTGGTTTAAAAATGTCAGGGAACAATCTCAGAGCAGGAACAAAATGTGTTTATAGAAGGGGAGGTTGATTAGAGGAGCACACTCCATTAGTTTATTGCATCAATGATGACTTCAAGAGCCATATAAGGGCACAAACAAAAAAGATCTTCTCTACTCTGACTTGGTACAATGTGCTTAGCCTGTATGATGAAAACAATTTGTTGGGTCACATTTGGGGATTAGGTTGAACAGCCGCCAGCCTGGGTCTGTAAGGGCAGGGAATTAACAGAGCAAAAAATAGAACCCACCCATGCAGGTCCCTGGGAAAAATACTCACTCTCTGAGCATTTCTGCTCTGGAAGCTGAACTCTCCCGCAGCATCAGAGACACCTGGCAGCTGCATTCTCCAACTTGGTTCCTGAAATATTTAAGTGAAATAAGAAAAGCAGAGGTTTCTCCCTCCAAGACTGTAACTTGCCTGTTGCAAGTTGCGTGTTGCACTAAAGCAGCTCAAACCCAGTGTGGCATCCTTCTTTCCCATGCCCAGCATTGTGGTGGTTGACTGAGTGGATTTGGTCCCCTTCTGTTTGGAGCCAAGCTATCTCAAATAGCTTTTACTGATCTGTTGCTGTCTACACTGGGAACAACATACTCCCTGAACAAAAATCAAAGCAATTTACAGAATGAAACAGCTGCAAACAAACAAGCTAAAGGAAAACAAATACAAAAGCTGGAAAATCAAGGCAGAGGAAGGGGCTGTTTTGCAAAGTTGAAAACCTTTCCAACTCTGCCTACTGTTTATTTATTCAAACCCAAGCTCTTAAGTTTTCTAATGTTAAGATATTAAAAGCAGGGTCTCATTTCCTTCCCTCCCCCTCCCCAGCCCAACCAATCAGCAAAACCCATCTACATGGATTGCTCCAGCCTGTACATGTTTATATTAAAAAACTTAAAAGTGTCACCATATATGGCACTGAGTACTTATTCTTCCTTCTGCAGAGGAATACCATGGATGCCTTCTGGAGAGGGCTCCCATTAAAGAATTCACTTAAAGTCCTCCTCCCACCCCCGCTGCTCCCTCCCTCCTGCAGATATATATCATTCTTCCAGCCCCAAATGGCTCTTCTCCACTTAACACAGGAGATGCCAAAAGCAAAATTTAACTCCCCCAGGGCAGCAGTTGTGTAACTGTTGCCACCGCTCCCCTGAACTGCTCTTAAAAAAACAGACTTGAATTGATTAAGGACTAGAGATATCTTTTATTAGTGAAAGCACTTTTATCCTTCCTAATCTAAGCATAACCTTGTAAATGGACTACAAACTCCTGGATGATTTTTCTTTTTCAAACAAAAATCATTTTTGCTACTGAAAACATTTCCTGGACATGAACAAAACACATGTGCGTTGGGGGGGAGGAAGGAGAGGGAGGCGGGTTTGTTCCAGCTGTGTTCTTCTTTCAAAAGACTTGTTAGATAAGAGCACCTTCAAGTCCACTTTGACCTATAGTTTGCCCAGACTCAGGAGTGCCTTTCTGTTGGTTTGCCATAAACATATTGTCTGGCCTGTTTTTTAAATAGTACATGGAAATACATTCCTAGATATGGTTCTGTTTGGGTGAATAAATGGTAATTTCACCAATTTGCAACTTGCAACAAAGTCACACAGTAGGCAAGATCATTAACACATTCACAGCACTAAGTTGTGTCTTTATAATAACGATTAGTGCCACCACCTTTTCAGATGGATTTCCCTTGCTCTCTGTTGCTTTAGAAAATGAAACAGTGGATCAGCCTAATGTGAAAATCAAGCCTTTAACAGCAAGAAGAAATTGGTGGGGTTGACCGAAGTAACTGGATTGCAAAGTAAAGGCCCTGTTGGTAGGAGCACATCTGATTTGACCTTAAGACCATTAACAACAAGAAGCCATAGAAACCTTTTCAACACTTTATATCCAACAAGTCAGAATATGTACACTAGAAACTGTTATTGAAGGCAATCCATAAAGACAGCACTGAGAGCCACAACCCAAATTTCCTTCAGTACGAAAGACCAGAGAACATCTGAGTATCAAACAGAAACTGTCCAAATGGCAGAAGAAGACCCAAGTCAATGCAGAGAATATTTAACTCAGTCCTCCACTGGAGACCTGCCATTCTTACTTCCTTTTATGTGTGACCTCCATTTGGAAGCAAGAGAAATAGAAAGAAGGAAAGACAAATGGAAAAATAAATAGAAATGATTGCACATCACCTCCTCCCAACATAGTGATTGGCATCAAATGGCGGCTGGGTACCAACGCTGCTGAAAACCTTCTGTCTTCAAAGAGAGCATTTCAAACTGTCCCCTTTTGCCACTATTGGAACTCATGAATTTTTTTGCTGCTTCTCAGAAGATTTTAAGAAAACCAGACACACTCTGAAACTGCTCAAGTACTTTCTCATTCACCACTGCTACAGGTCTGTTAGCAGGCTGTTGGTTTACCAGAAGGTGCCTCCTGTAAGTCTCTTAGAGCTCAATTACTCTTCTTTTATGACTTAAAACCAATCCAAAGCTGATGAAGTAGGAGAGGCCATGCAAGCTGAAGTATAGACAATTTACAGCATACATCAAATAGGGAGGCACCACTGCTCAACTTCTGTCATGACTGTATGGAAAAAATATTTGCCCACAAGAACTGTGTCACCAGCGGGAGATGTTAAAGTAACAGAGACAGCACTCTCCCAGGAGAGGGATCTAGGGATACTGAATGTGGTCCTGACCACTGTGAAGAATATTTGTATTTCTGCAGGACCCATTTCTGCAATGCATCTTTCCCTGTGCAAATTCTTCTCACATGCAAAGAAGAAAATAAGGAAGTCAAAGTAAACCTCTCTAAGTTATTTTTCACAGAGTTTGGAAAATAAAGGAGGGGGTAAGAAAGTAGGAGAGCATTTTGTTCTTTCTATTTTTAAAACCTTGGGAAGCACTTACAAATTATGGCAACAGTGAGACATAGAAGTACCTAGATGGAAAAATAATTTGAAAGGTAGTTTTTTGATCTTAATTATGATTTCTGATTCAAGTGAATGGCTGAAAACTAGACCACTGGATAAAAACCTCAAGTCTGTGTCTAATTTATCATATCCCTATTCAAAAGTGTAGCCTTCTCAGGCCAAGTCCTGCTCCCAATGAAACCAAAGTGAGTTTTGTTACTGATTCTAGGAGCAGGGACAACATAATTTTGTCTTCTGAATTCAGTTGCAGAGTCTAAAAAGGTGAAGTTAATAACACTGACCCACCTTGGAGATCATAAGGTGGAAAAAGAGAAACAAACCATGAAAAATTAAGGATGGTTTAGATGATAAATTCAATAAAGAATAATTTTGGAAACTTTGTAAATATTTTTACATTTACGCAATTTCAGAATCTAAGCAAGGCAAAATACATAGAGGCAGTTAGAAAAGATAGAGCTTTGCAGTACACAAGCACTACTTCAAGTCTTTCACGTCTCTGCTGTTTTGAATCTTGGCAATTACAATATCACTTCTGCAACATGAGGTTCTCCATCTTGGCATTTTATCAACAAAACCCTAGACAAAGACAGATCTTAGTGGCTTTGTTATTGTGGAATAATGACAGACATAGCTAAAATGTATGCTTAGTAGCTATGCTGTAAAGAAGTGTCTGGAAGTGTTAACTTTTGGAGGATTGTTCTGTAGAACGCCCATGCGCAGGACTTATCTTTGAAGCGTCAAGGAATAATAATACCTCCCCCCCCCAAACAAATAAAATCCCAGCTGCAAAGCTTGAAGCAATTTTAAAAATAGCTCTCTGTCCTATTGTGGGATCAGTTTTCCCTGGAATCACTTTTATGTTCAAAATATCTTGAAATACTAGTTTCTTGGCAGAATCTACTCAAATATTTTCACTGAACCTCAGATGAGACTTATTGTCTGCGTGTCCCTAGGAAGCACTCTCTGGAGGAAGAAATAAAAAAGCATTGTTAATTATAGTGTGAGGACACACTGAAAATTCCTAGTGGCCTACCAAGTGTGAAATAAGTATTGCAGAGTAAATTACATTTTTTTAAAAATGAACTGAAAGGGGCAAAGAAGTTGATCCCTCGCTATAGCTGGTGTTTCAGTGCAGGTAACTGCAAAGCCTCAGAATGAGGTTAAGTCTTTTGTGAGTTCGTTAAATAGAGAGAAAGTCCAGACTCTATGAAGCTTTAACCCCAAAGAAAGCAACTAATCTACTGAATCACAACTTTAGCTGACAAAAAAGAGAGCAGCTCTACTAGCTTCAAAGAGGATGCACTGATTGACCTCACTTGAGGTTTTGGCAAAAAGATTTTTATACCTGAAAGACCAATTATTTTATTTGCATTTTACAGCACCGAGTGGGAGAATGGAATGGGAAGGGGTCCTGATTTTCTTTCCTAAAAATAGACAGAGTGTTGACAGCAGAAAACAAGGTTTGCAAAGTGTATTTTGCCGAAAGACAGTACTACATTTACTGTTTTGTGTAATGGAATGTAATATTACAACTGCTTTTTATAGAACATAAATTGCAGAGTATTCGAGGTACCACTGTTTTATAAGATGAATGTTTACCTCAGATTTTAATCACATTATCAAAATCTCTAAATAAGATTAATCAACACTAAACAAACTTTATGGAATATGGAGTAGGGGACAAGAGCAATACTCAGCGTCTGAGAAGACAAAGGTTAACAAAGTAAATGTTTTGTTTAAGAAACCGCAGGAGGATTTCTGAGGTCTCTCATGTTGACTGTGCTATTATAAAGATAAAGGCTTTGCTCAGCAAACATAGCCTCTCTCCAGTACTCCCAATTTCTTTGCTTACCTCTTCATTTATGATGTACACTTTGACTGAAAAAACTTGGGGAAGTCATACTGGGATAAAAGGATAGTGGTGCTTGCATCACTGGAAAGATGTAAAGAACAGGAGGAGAAAAAGATGTATGTGGTTTTCTGAGTCAAAAAAGTCAAGATTGTTATTTCCCATTTCAATCACGATGGTTTCATGACTGATTTCTTATCCCTCAACTGCACAGGCTGGCATTTTGCAGGCTGTAAAATGTTCAAATTTCAATAGATGAACCACAGTAGTGGGTGAATCTGTTGTTCTTTTTGTATTTATGCAACACCATTTCTTGAGGCCTAAGCAATAACAGGCTCAGCGAAACACTATTAGGACAATTAAAATGAAGAATGCAAGTGTAGAGGAATCGTAGGCTTGTGTAGGTTTAAAACAAGGACCAGGAGAGGCTATAATGACTACCTTCTTAAAAGTCAGGCTTCGTAGTCTGCTACATGATAAAAGGCAAAGCAAAGACATATTCTAAATAATGCTGAGGGAGGGAAAGACAGAAAGTCAACCAGCAATCATTGATGGATCACACTAGGATCACACTGGGCTACACACCCTTGTCAGCTCACTCTGATGAAAGGAGAATGAACTAGGAAGAGACAAATAGATCTTTTGTTAAACCCAAATTTTTAAGACCAGAATTTTAATTTGTGAGCAGCTAACAAAAAAGAATAATTGTGGAAGTATTAGGACAGAATTTAGAGCTTAAGAATAATGGAGAAGAAAATAGGAAAATAATCAACACTGACAGGAAACCGTGCCCAGACTAAATTAAGGGAGTTGGAGAAGGAATGACTCCCTAAAAGCAGCTATGCAATATGCCTCTAAAATTAATACATGAAAAGGAGCTACACATTTTATTTGAAAATAAAATGATTATGTTTAAAAATAGCCCACTGACAACTTCTTTATAAACTCTTCAGTGCATTGACTTGTGGTTGCTCAGTTATTCCATATTTTTAATGGACTTTGTAGGAGTTTTTGAGAGAAAGACACTAAACGCAGCTCTCCTCTCAGGTACTGTTTCTGAATATATAAACAATTCTCAATCAAGTGTTCAAGACAAATGCAAACAGTTCAAAAGCTATTTAGACAAGACTATTTGCTGTTGAAAATTATTTTAGCTCTATTGCAAACTTGAAGTTATATGGCTGACATTTGGCTCCTTGGATATTCCTGAGGCAGTTACTTCTCTGTTATTCATAGTATATAAGCAATTGCCTAAAAGATATGACTTTCCGTTCCCTGAACAGTAACTGAAATTTTACAAATGATGGCAGGGTAAAAAGAGGCATCAGCATTCCCCTTGCTCTAATTGCAGCAGAGTTTTACTCATTATGGATTAGAAAAAGCCAACATGAATGCACTGATCTTTGTGAGATCCCCAGCTATTTCTCCAGTAAAAGGATTAGGGAAAATAACTGAAACTAGCATGTAATCTGCTGTGTTGTGTTCTAGCTACAACTTTACTTCTTCTCACCCCTCAAAAAATTGTTCTCCTCCGCTAATTTTCTGAAATAATTTGTTTTCTAAGTATACATTCTGTTATGTTCTAGAGTCATGATATTGTCAGGCTTCCACTTTGACAAATGTCTTCAGTGATGAGTTTGGCCTGGGTGATCACCAACTACACCTGATCATTAAGGTCGACTTGCTCAAGTCAGCCACAACAAAGTCTTCCACAAAGTCCTCTCAGCTCTCCTTTGTTCTTCCTGTTCTCTTTCTTTCTTCCATCCCTGAAGTTTTGCTGAAATATCTCATTCTCTTTCCGTTCAAGTGAAACCACCAGCCTATCATAAGAGAAGATGCCCATGACCAGGGCACACAAACCAAAGTGTGGAAATGTACTAGCAGAAGGCAGCAATTCTCACAGTTTGGCCTGCTCTCTCATGTAGAGGTCAGCAACCTTAATGAAACTGAACTGACATTTCTAATCCCGGCAGAGGTACTGAGTGTTAGAAATGCCACTGATCCCCAAAGAGACTTTTCTCAGGTGCAAGGATGTATGTAGACATGACCTGCACAAATCAGCATTATGAATGTCCCAGATGATCTGGGCTAACTGCGAAGAAGCCAATTGTTCTGAAATGAGTCAGTTCACAATTTATTGAAGAGTACAAAGGGTCCAAACCAAGTGAAGAGCTTATTTGTAAAAAGGTCATGGCACATACGGCTCTACCTACAGAAATGCTAGCAATAAGACTTGAAATTAAGAGTAGAAAAACTTAATTATAGGAAATCTTGATATACAACAGCTATAATTTTCTAAAGCACCCTTCTCTGGTGAAAAGTGAGCACCTCGTTTGACTTTAAATAATAAAATATACTGAGGCTAGTTTGTGGCTGCCTGTGATAATCTATGGAAACATACCTTAGAGCTAGGCATCTACACAGTGATATGTCCATCATTCAGCCAACACTGGTTGGAAAATAAACTATAAGTGTAAAAAATTAAAGTCACTGTTTAGAGGCTAAATGGGTTAAATGTATTAAGAAATGCCCTCCCTCCTTGGGTTAGGAAGACATGAGTAATTTATTTGCAAGCAGGCAAAGGATAGCTCAGTTTTTAAATTTTGTACTAGACTGTAGCATATGAAACAAAAATAATTTGTTTATAGCATGAAAAAAGACAAAAACCACCATAAACAGGTAAGTGCAAGCGGCGCAAAACTACAGTCCTAACACTTTGTAATACTGGGCAGTGTCTGTCTAAACTGGACTGCTCCATCTGGGCTAAAAAGCTAGTGTGTGGAGCACAGCAGATAATTTTCTTCTAGTGTAATGGACTCAAATGTCCAAGATTGTTAAACAAATTTTAGTAAAGGAAGTCACAAATATTAGCCAAGTAAGGCAATACATCTATGCACAGTAAATAGCATAGAATGGTAACATCAGTTTAAAGTTGTACAGTTTCATATAACCACATAGGGGATATATAATTATGCCCGATCTTCACCATTGGAGGTGGAAAATGCTGTGGCACTTTTTACAAGGTAAAGAACCAGCAAATCTGATTCTTCATTTAAAGAACAGTCATTTTACCAGGAAAAAAAAAGTTCAAAACAGCTCTTCCAAATTTTGTAGGAATTACAAGAAGTTCAAAGCATCAGGGTGCCTCATTTCAAAGATACATCAGAAAAAGGAGACTACAACTTCCATATAAAATTCAGATATTTCAAACATGGCTAAGGAACATTTTCTGTCCTTAAAGGTATGGATCATAATCTTGTGGAATGGCCCTTCCTGATTAGGTTGTTCCCATGGAAAGCTGGCATCCTTACAACTATCCAGAGAGATGGAAAACATGATAAACAATAGCTCCAAAATCATGACATTGATTGTGGTTTCCCTTGCTAGAAACCCAAATTTCTTCCCATACTGCTGCCACAAAACTTTGTTTTTCAGAATCCCCAAAGGAACCTCTGTGCTGCTTTGTCCTTCTTTCTGACTGTCCTTCTGTTCCCTCTTTCCTCTTTGAGCTTTAAGATTTTTTCATCCCTTAGAAATATTTTGTACCTTTAGTACCCTACTGTTTTGTGGGAATAGCAGGGGACTCTTGTCTTCTTCATGTGGGAATTTCAGCTTGAGGGTAAATATAACTAATTGTTCCAAGGGAACAAGCTCTTTTCATGGCAAACATACCTGAGCTGAATTTCATATTGCCCTGCATGATGAGACTGTACATTCCTCAAGATCAATGTGAAGATATCTTCATTTTGCAGGATTTCACATGCTGTTCCCGGCATTATTTCTTGCCCATCTTTAAACCAGTGAACAGTGGGGAAAGGATCTCCAGCAATGGCACAGGATATAAGGACATTTTCCCCAGGAGCTGCTGTCACTGATCTTGGTTTGCTAATGAACCAGGGCTGAATACCATCCTGAGGTTCTGTAGTTTACAAACACAGTTTACAAATCAGGAGAAAACGCCAAGCTTGAATGTAACTAATAAGCTAACTAATTTCAGGGAAAGCAATCACAGACAAGCAAAGTTATTTTGAACAAGCAGGGTATAAGTTTTTAACCTGAAAATAAGTCAGGCTTTAATTTTGGAAGTCACTTGCGTTGGTACTAAAATTAATCATTTACTTGGCACTTTACTGGCTTGATCCAGGCTTACATTAAGAGCAAAACAAAGAGACTTTGAAGCTGCCCTAAAAGGACTCTTGAAGAGTTATCCTTAGAGCATACGGGTAGGAATAGCTTTAAGGGCAAGTGACAGTACTATGACTGCTGTGCAGTTGAGAGCTCATATAATAAATCATCATTAACAATTGCATAAAATTGCATTTAACATAGAAGACTGACCCTGAGGCTAGATCTCAAGGGAGCTTAGAGAATAGAGGAAGGTCTGAATTCAGAGCAGACCATGACAACAGAATCCAGACCTGCCCCTGGAGGCATAGCTCTCTGAAATCCTGGGGTTAAGATTTTTACATTAAAAATAATAAAAGTCTCCTGTTGATTTCCAATAATTCTCAGCAATGACTATGGGAAAATGTTGGCATACAGTAAGATCAGATGAAGGCCCCTGTCATGAAGGTAGTGAATGCCCAATCACAGAAGTTTGTAGATCATTCAGTGTTTACCGTGGGATTTACATCATATGCAGAGATGTAAAGCCAAATTTTTTGCAGCTAGTTCTCAAATTGCAGAAATCATGTGTTCCTCACCTACTACCACTACAATGCTAATATTAAAGCCAGGATACCTGGCTCCTGGACAGCTTTTCTAAGTATTCAGGTCTTTAATTAGAAAGAAAAATATCATTAAATGGTTTACATTAAGTCCATAGCTACAATCTCAAGCTGCATTTAGCAGAAGTTTTGCACTGTCCCTAGGAATAGGACTCAGGAATGCATTTTTTAAATAGTAACATAATGTTCCAGAGTGAAAAGACTTTTTTTTAAAGTTGCTTCTGCTCAATATCCTTTTTAATTCAGATGCAGAGACTGAGAACTCCTAGCATCCTTCACAGCAGACCTTATAAACACTCCTGTACTTTAAATAGACATCCTTCCAGCACATTAGAATTATTTTCTTTTAGCATTTCCTAAGGCAGAGAAGAACTTTATACCTTGTACTGTCAATGTAGCCTGGGTTTGAGTTTCTCCTAATTCATTCCAGGCTTCACAGGTGTATTTGCCTGTGTCTTCAGGAAATACTTCCTGGATGTACAGACTGTACTCATTGCCTTTCTTCTCAAAGTGGAAATCTTCTGTCTCCTGAATTTCTTTCCCATTGTGCAGCCAGATAATTTCAGGAGGTGGGTTAGCTGAAAAATACAAAAAACAAAAATCAAAGACACACACAAAACCCCACCATATACTGATTAAGAAAATGAACAAGGTTGGTTGTTTTCTGCTACCTGCTTCTGCAATTTCATCTTAAAACATTCAGGAATTTCATTAACTCTGTTGATGCTACGTAAAGAGGAATAGTTCTAAATCTGTCTTACTACAGTTAAAATACAAATTAATAAGGGAAGCACATATAGAATAGAGAGGAAGAATGAGTTCTAGATCCCAGGAAGGTGGTTATCAAGGGTTTCTGTTGCCAAAGTTCATACCAGGACTGCTCTTTTCTGCAGCACTAATCTTACCCTAGCTGACAGGAATTCAGTCTTGTTTGGTTCACAATAAAAGCTATTACAAGTCCACTGAGACTTAGATTTAGTTCAACAGCAGGACCCAATAATAACCTTATTATTATTATTATTCCCATAAAGAAACACTTGTACAGGTCTGAACACATTAACACTGGACAATGTTCATCCACGCTGAAGATCAGATTAGACAAACCTACCTTTTACTTTTCATTCCTTTAAAGATTATTTCCAAATGCAAAGACAACTGCTAAAACAAAAGGACAGTGGAAAAAAGCACATACTTTCCAGCAGGACTTAAAATTTTTAAATAATACTGTTCTATAGCTACACACCTGATACCTCCACAGTCATTATCACTTGACTTCCATCCATTACTTTGAGGTCAGTCAGGCCTTTAAGGAAGATGGGTGCAAAAGTCTTGTTTAACTTGGCAGCCTGTGCACTTTCTGCCGCCTTGCTGCTCTTCTTTTCTGTGAAGTCAAGAAGAGAACAAAAGGGGTCTCTTACTGGAATTTACATGACAAATTTTAACTGACCTTAGGTTCAAACTGATTTCAAGTCAGTGGCTTTGTTTCAGTCCTCAGAAGGCAAAAATCTTTGAAACAACCCAATGTAGCTGATTTGCCTCGCCAGCAGTTCAGGCAGAAAGGCAAGAAATGGGAATGGAACTGTCTTTCCTCCAGGGATCTTCTTAAATAATTGTTAACAGATATCATGGAGTATCACACAAAAAATTTACCCTCATTTTCCCCAAGTACACATGCTCAGGTGCAAAAAAAAAACCAAACCAACAACTTGTAACCAACAATTCAATGCCTTTAATCACCACTAAATTCACATAAAAATCTTAAGATACATTACAAGTTGCTGTTCTCATGATTGATGAGTTAAAAACGTAAACTCACAGGAATATAGGATTCACCACTCTGTATGAAACTGCAAAACATTTAGATTGTTAGATGGTCAGTATCAAATGGGTTTGAGTTCACCACACTCCTCTCCTGTATTACACTTAGGCAACTGATTGATGATGGGAAAGACTGAAACCTGAGGTTATCACATATCGCAAAACAAACTATTGGATTAGGGCGTTTTTTGGGGTTTTTTTGAGGCTGTACAATCAAATGACGAGTGCTGGAGTTAAATTAATCACTCTTAAAAACAAAATCTATCTGTGGTAGGTATGTAATTTCCAGTATCCACAGTGGTCTCCTCTATCTTGGATTTAGAGGCTACGAAGCAAGATCATTTAACTGTGACCTATATGGTACACTCGACCAGGAAAGATACTTCTGCTCTAAAAACATGACCAAAGACACTTTTGAAGCCAAAAGTGATCATGACCAAATGTAAGAAGTCATAAATATTTATTGGTCACTTGGATACACTTTTTGTTTTGTTTAGCTTGAGTTCAGACCTCTTACGTCTTGCCTTTAAAATGCCAACCCTGCTTTCTGTCTCTACATGAAAATAGCTTAATTTTGCTTATTCTTACCTTCAAAATTTTCAAAGGTATATCAAGATCATCCAAAATAGTATTACAGCAACACAAGTGCCAGGCTGGGAAAAAAACACCATTCATAAGAGGATGGTGATTAGAAAAACTGAAAGCACCTCACTGAGCAAGTCCACTGAACCTCCTGGAGTCAAAAAGTTAAGCTTGTCCTAGGGTTATTTGAGCTCAATGTAAATTTGGAAGCTGCCTGGAGAGGAAGTTTTTCCTTTTCTCTAGCAAAGCTTTTTCTAGCCATAATCTTGTCTCACTGGCTTATGTTGAAGATCTTTTCTTGGCAATGAGCAGTGAGACATTGATGCATGTGAGAATGGAAATATGGGACCTGACTGAGACCCACTCAACTCGGTGTTACGGACTTACTACTCTGAAATGCCTGATTTGGTATCTGTGGTGGTGCATTTTGCCCCCTTTTCCTGGGCCTCGCTACAATTTCAGAAATCCATGCCTTAGTGTTTGTGTAATGAGTTGGGTGTTTAAGCACCCCTTGATCGTACCGGAAATTCTGTCACAGCTAAGGATGGAAAAATACTGATTGTACTGGCAACATCTATCATCCGGCCAAGGATGGGAACTCAACAAAACAGGCCTTGGAGGCCTGAAAAAAGTAGGCATCGATACATCCCTTGTCTGAATCATAGCTCAAGTAGAACATGGTATCAGTGCTACTAGAACTTTGAGAATTCCAGCAATTACCAACTCAAATTGTGGCCAGAATGGAAATTTACTAATGACTAAATTAAATCATCTTGCAAACCAATAAACAGTGGTCCTAAAGTGAGATCCTTTGAGCTCTCCTGGACTGCAGCGGGTTGTGACCAGCATCTCCCTCTGAGTAGGATGTCTCTCAGAGCTCGCGAACTCACAAGTTTGCAAAGTTCGGAGGATCATTGCTGAAATCAGACAACGAAGCCTGGTCTGAGAATCCTTCACTCCTCGAGACTCAACTCTTGCCCATTGAGAGGTGCAAAGACATTAGAAGTGAGTATTTCACTGAACTCAAGGGAAATTTTTCTATTAGCTATACCTACTTTTACACATATATACCTTTATACATCTGTTTCTTTATGCATATAGTCCTTTATACATATATCTCTATACCTATGTACCTCTTAGTGTTTGTGTGCATGCATGTGTGAATCAATTCAAATACTCTATAACAATTTAAGTCATTGCTATGATCATAGTACTTCATAGATGTTAAATTAATTAGTGATTAAGTGCTGTTAAATGAAAAGTGCTGCTAAATCCTACTGCTAGCTACTGACTGAATGGGTACCCCTGGTCTCTGTGTAAACTACTCTTGCTTGGTTTTAACCCTTTTTTTTAATACTTTCTTGTGTACTTTTCTTTCATGTAGTAAATAATAGAGTGAACCTTACCATCGAACTTTGTTAAGTCAGCTTTCCATCAATTCATATTAAAACCACTTTCTGGTAATACCTTTGAGGGTGATTCTTTGAGCAACCTTAAAACCACTCATTCATGACACTATCAGGCAACATTGATCAGCCTTAGGGCTTCCTATAGCACCTGCTTTTAAGTGACTAATGCTGTATAGAAAATAGCCATGAAATTGGGTCAAATCCATCTACAGTAATAAACTGCTGTGGTTCACCATATTCCTCTGTTTTGTACTGTTTACTCAAGGAAACAACTTCAAAAAACTGCTATACTAAGCAATATCAGCACATACTCCTTCACTACTCTAATGCCTTGCAGAAAATCCCTTTGTCTCTCAAACTGAAACAGACCTGGGAGGGAATGCAGAAATCCATATAATGGGAAAAAAGAGGAAAAGAAGAAGAAGAAAGGAGGAAAAGGAAAAAAAAAAAAAAAAGACAGGAAAGAGGCATAGAAAAGAAGAAAGGAAAGGACACTTAAATGATAATGTTTCAGTTATCCCTTTTATTGAAATAATTCATAACATTGCAAATTGAGAAGGCAGATATGTAATAAAAGGAGAGCAGGGAAAGGAAAATAAAAGCAGAGGTGTGGTTCTAGACCAACAGAGAAACAGACTTGGAGTATGATCAAAGAAGTTCAAGCCTTCAGAGAAGGGAGATAACAAAAAAAGAGCTGAAACGGCTCTCACGAGAGAGTTAACAGTGATCAGGAAACAAATTTGCTAGTAGTGGTTCTAACAGCAATTCTCCCAGAACAGACCGAGCTGCCTCCAGCAGAGCCCCGGTACAAACAGCATTAAGTACTAGCAGCACTCCACATCCCTCACAGCTGGCTCTTTGCTTTATTAGACTGACGTGCCTGTTCCATGTAGTCTAAATAAGTGGATTTCTGTAATCAAGGAAGACAATACAGTATAACAGCCTCAGCTTATTAAAAAGAAATGGGTGAGCAACTACAGAAGAAATAGAGCAACATCATTTCCCAAAAAGAATTTTTCAGCAATGCTAACTCCTCCAAAATATGTGCTGCAGAAATGAAAGTTTCACATACTGGGATAAAACCACCTTCTTGCACAGAGCTGCATAAACATTAAAAGGAAGCAAGCAAATAATTAACAGTAACTGCATATATGAATCACAAACCAAACAAGATTACAAAAAAGTTAGTCCTCAGTTTCTGAAGTTATCATCTCAGGTAGAGGTATCCTGTGCTAGTGAGGAGATCTATTGATGAGAGTAACATTAAGAAGATTTACTGGGGGTGCAGGCCTCTACCCCTAAAAGAGTGACCTGCAGGATTAGAGGAAAAAGGACAATTTGCCATTGTTATTTATCAGTGCTCACTATTTATAAGTGAAGCTGTCAAATTGAAATGAAGGGGGCCAGAACCTGCCTCACCATCGCAGAAATCTTAAAAATAGCATTTACACAAAATTTAAGCACTGCATATCTTTATGCTGATCTCTTGTATGAAGACCAGTTCTGTGCTTAAATAGAACGTTACAAGGGTAAGTATCAAAACCCAGAAGCCTATGGTATATTAGTAGTAAAAACCTTCAAGGGTACAGCTTCAACAGTGCAAGAAAAGTTACTGGGGAGACGAAAGAGTTATTTCAGGGGAAATGGAATGTAATCATGCAGAGCAACACCAGGACAGATTATTAAGTCTGAAATACTGGAAACTTGGGGATTACTCCAGGGACAGAAACAAAGGCAACTTATACATCATAACCATTCTGAAGACATCCCTATCCTCGTAAACCTATCATATACCAATGCACATGCACTTTGATTTAGTCCTTGAAGTATTACCTGATTTCTCAATACCTATTATATAGCAGGGGTAAAAATGTCTCACCTTTCATTGCATTTTTCTCAGAAGGGACTGACACAATCATGCAGAAGCCAAATTACAAAGCCTGAATGTTAACTATTTTCAAATTCTTCTGAAGCTTGTGAATGCTTTTAGTTGTTTATTTATTACATAGCACCATGCAGTGACTCAGTGCTCCTCTGATGAAGGCTTTAACATTTCCCAATTTTACCATGAGAGAGCAGCGCTGTACATTTTCACAGCTTATTTTAATATACCTAAGGGCTTCTTCAATTTCAGCCTTTACAGCTCTTGTTTTGAAAAACAGCAGTCAATTTGATTTTGGAAGGTACTTGGGGAAAGAAGGGACACTGCTCATTGAAGATTAAGCAAATAACTCCTGTTCCCATCTATGGTGGAAAGATACTGTGTGATTCTACTTCCTTTTGGAAACACTTGGCTAATTATTTTGCCAGGAAAGCAGTACAAGGAAAACCATACACAAAATCCCAGGCACTGTTTGCAAAAGGGTAGCTTCAGAAAGTGTAACAACCATAGAAGTTCACATTCCCTGGCCACAGCTAGGTGCTAGCTAGTCTCATGTATCAGGAACAAAATCTGTGACTTGCACCAGGAAAATGGATGGCAAGGAGATAAGAAAAACAGGACACAAATATGCAAGCTGTAGAAAGGCCCATTCCTCCAAAGCCCCTTTCACCACATGAACTCTACTGGGAT